AGGTGCTTCATGTGGGCAGCACCACCGTGCCTGGGCTGGGGGGCGGGAGCAGGGTGATGCTGGGGGCCAAGGACACCCCAATGCCTGTCTCCCTCTGCTGGGACTGACAGCCCTGTGGTGTCTCTTCCCACTTCGGGTAAGGAATGACCATGGCGACCTGCGATCGGTCTCCTGGTCTACCATCTGCTTGACCAAGGTGGCTAGGGCTGCTCTACGACTCTGAAGTAGAACTCAGGTCTGGATTCCGTTTCCACGGGCAGCAGTGGGAAGAAGATAGGTTCAGAACCCTCCTCCTCATCCGCTGTGTGTGGCCTGGGCAAGCCAGGCTGCCACAGCCAGCCGTCCCTGTCCTGGTTTGCAAAATAGAGGCACGCGACCACACTGCTGCAGTCTGGACAAGAGGGCAAGGAAGCATGGGTGCTGGCACCCATTCTGGTCCCTTCTGGCAACAGCAGCTCCTGCCGTGCACCTCTCTGTGCACCTCTGTGTGCGGAGAGCTCCAGGGGTGTGGGGGTTTATTCTGGAATGATCAACACACCTGCATTACAGGAAAATGAAGCCCAGGGTGCTACTTCTTACTGATTCAGGGAGGGGCTGACAGCTGATCCAAACAGCCTGGCTTCACAGACAGGGTGGGCACCTGCCCCTGAGCCAGGGCTGGTCAGTGCCAGGGCCCCTGCAAAAGGCCCACCTCCCACTCAAGGGCACGTCCACGCAGAGCAGATGGGACACACAGCTCAGCCCTGCGCCTCCCAGAGTCATCACAGAGCGCTACTCACCCTCCATCCGACCCAGGAGAAGTGTGGAGGGGGAGCGGTGCCGGGGACCACGGCCGCCACAGGAGACCCTTTCCGAGGGCGTGGGAAGGGACCAGCCTGTCCCAGCTTTGTCAGCTGGCTGGCAGGTGGGCACTCCACACCCCAAGGTTCTCTTTCTGGGGGACAGAAGGACCGGACAGCTTGTCCCAGACTGCCCATCAAAGGGCCGCCGACGGCAGAGCACAGTGGGGAAAACAGGCTCGTTCTGCCCATTTGCTTTAAAACTCACAAGTTCCCCTTCTGCCCCCCTCCTCCGGGAGGCCTGGGGGAGGTGCCCCTTGCCAAGCCTGGCTGCTCTCCTGGGGTCTGGGGGAGGAAGCAGGGGGGATATCTCAGGACGTTCCTGGCAGGGGGAAGCATGCAGGACAGGGGCCAAAGCCTCAACCCACAGCCCAGCTCCAAGGCTGCACCTGGAGAGCTCAGGGAGGCTCGGTCTACCCAGAGCCCAGTGCAGGCCGCGCCTCTGAGCGCCGTGACCACAGGGGGCAGGTGAGGGGTGCTCACCAGGCTGGCAGCACGGGGCTCACGCTGCATCCACACATGGCAGCCCTCGAATTCTTTACTCTTTTTTTCTTTGTCGGTCATGGGGCCTGAACTCTGGGCCTGGGCTCTGTCCCTCAGCTCTTCAGCTCAAGGCTAGCGCTCTACCACGAGTCACAGGGCGCTACCTCCAGCTTTTTCTGCTTATGTGGTGTTGAGGAATCCAACCCAGGGCCTCATGTATGTAAGGCAAGTGCTCTACCACTGAGCCACCTTCCCAGCCCCTAATTCTTTACTCTTTTATCCCTTTCCAGATTGCTACCTTTTGTTGGGGAGGAGACCAGCATCGGCAAGAAGATTTTAGAACTGCACGTGTCTGTGTGTGCCTGTGCGCGTGTCTGTGTGTGCCTGTGCGGGGGTGCGGGCATGTGCGCCTGGAACACTGGCGCTCTTGACAAGCACCATTACTCTCAGGTAAGAAACGAGGCGCTGGGACCCTGAGAGGTAAATTATTGGGTCAGTTTGCCCTCTCTGGTTAGTGCAGCAACAAGCACTTGGGCTCTAGATCCACGTGTTATTGATGAGGTCTCCACATGATGCCTGGGCACCAGCGTTCTCTATATCCTACAGGGTGTGTGTGTGTGTGTGTGTGTGTGTGTGTGTGTGTATACTGGGACAGTCAGCACCGCAGGTCAGCTGTGAGCTAGACAGAGTGTGAGCTGGGAAGCTCTGAGGGGGGGCCCTGGGGTCGCAGGTGTCCCTCCAATTGAGAAGAGGGTGCTCCGAGTACCAGAGTGCAAGGCGGAGGTTCCCTCCCACTGCAGGGCATCTCCTGGATCTGACCCAGGCTCTGCTGTCCTCTGCCAGGACCCTGGAATACCAGCAGGCAAACCTGAGACCCGGCTGGCCTGCTGTCCGCCGGTGCCCAGGCCCCCGGGGCCGCCTTCCTGGGCCACCTCAAGCTGACCACGCGCAGGGCCGGTGGGGACCAGACTCTGTTCCCTGCCAGCGCCTGCGTTCCCAACACCTCTGCCTGAAACACGGGGTGACAGCCCCAAGCTGTGGGGTGCATCGCATCCCTCTGCCCAGCAAGGACTTCCTTGCAGCTGCATTTCTCCAGCTCTGGAACGTTCTTTCAATCCCCACGGTGCTCCTGGAAGAGGACCTGGAACAATGATCCCCATTCTGTGGCTGAGAAAACAGAGTCTAAGGCCAGCGACGGTGACAGCAAGCGACCACATCGCACACTCAGCCGGCTGGAGAGACCAGGGCTCCAAGTCAACGCCAGCCTGCGTCTGGGCGACCTGTCTCCTTGGATGGCTCAGGAGGCCTGGCTTTTCCTCCATACCTGGGTCTGTGACAGCCAGTTCAGAGACCTAAGGCAAGGGTTGCTGGCTCCCCAGGCTGGTCAACACTGCCTGGCCAGGCCTCCATCTGAGCTTCATGCCTCCCCCATCCCCCAGAGCTCAGCGGGTGAGGGAGCAGCGCAGGTCACTCGCTCTCTGCGGGGGAAGACAGTCCCTGCTTTGGGCCCTCAGCCAGGAAGCGCGCAGAGCCCTGTGCCTTGGCTCTGCCAGGCAAGATGAAAGGAAAACGTCCGGGACCATGCCCATCTCCGCTAATGGCTCAGCCTCTTCCAGCCCCGGGCCGTGCCTGCCCGCCCCCAGGGAACCTGCAGCAGCTGCTGGGTTGCTGCTTAGGGCAGACCAGGGGCAAAATCAACATGACTGAAGGAGAGGGATCAGCGCAGAGCGTTGGTTAGGGAACGCAGAAAGGATGGAGGCAAACATTCTGAATGTTTACATCCAGGGAACTAATGGAAGAGTGAGTCAGGCCAAGAACTCTGAAGTCTGGCGATGGGGCGAGGGGTCAGGGGCGCCTGCACCGCTGTGAAGGGTGAACATGGGGTCACTGGGCACACACTGGGCCTGTGTGACACAGGTGCCCCATTGGCTGCCCATAGGCCGGGGCGGGGGGGAGGGGTGGCAGGGGAGAGGCCACGGCAGGGCTGGACCCACAGCCCAGGCCCCGGGTTCTGGGAACCACGCTCTTTATAAGAAAGTTGCAGGAGCTCACAGACCAGTGGTCAGGCGGAATTGCTTCTGATGATTCTTTCTAGCTGAATGAGATTCAGTTAATGGAAGACTTAATAAGGCTTTCTGAGCCCGAGGTGAAGGCCAAGCTGCAGCTCCCGGAAATGAGTTTTTGGCTGGGGAGCTGCAGGTCTGTGTGAGGAGAGGTGAGAAGGGCCGGAAGCCCGGCAGGACCGCAGGCACAGCCCATCCCCGAGCGCCGCCGTGCGGAGAATCAATCCTGCCAATCGGAGTGCCCGCAGGAGGCCGGGGCCCGGGGACAGGAGGCTGCACTGAATATAGACCCTGGGGTCTGACAGCCAGGTACGGCCGGCCAGAACAGACCGAAGGAGCCCAGAGGATGGGCCAGGAGTCTGGGCCTGACTGAGATTCCAGTTGGAGGATCTGCTGGCCTCTGCCGCCCTGTGGCCCAGCCTTCACCTGCCGGGCCTCCATCCCCAGGCTCAGCATCAGCCTCCAAGGTACCTTGGTGTATTTTCTTACAACTTGGGAATCTGGTTTCCCTCTGATTTGATTATGAGCCACAAAGGGTGCACTGTAGCGTGCTGGACACACCCAGCTTTACTTAAAAAAAATATGTGCTGAGAGAATAACCACAAAGCAACAACAAGAAGCTATTTTAAAGGTTGCCACGAAGTGCAGTGTGCAGAAAACTGAAGATGAAAAACAAGCCACATCCGGCTCTGTCTTTCTTCTGTCCCACCCAACTGTCTTGTTCTGTTTTCTTGCTGTACAACTCCTTCAACTACCACCATCACCACAGTCCTACTGACATGGAGGTAACAGAGGAGAGTACTGAGCAGTAGCCATGTTGGGGGCGGGCACCGAGGAGAGGCAAATACAGAAACACATCCTCTGTCTCAGGACCTTTGCATGTGCTGTTCCCACCATAGGAATGTCCTTACTCCTGTTCCTTCGTGACTCCTCTCCTGTCAGTCTCCCCTGCTGGAAGTGTTAGTAGGCCCTCAAAAAGTAAGTGATAGTGGATTGAGAGCCAGCCAAGCACTCACAGCCCAAAGAACAAAGGTTCCTTCAGGCATGTGTGTTGCACACAGCGTGGAGGTCTTGTATGCATCTGGCCTGAGTCCCATAGAAGACTGATGGTAATAATAATAATGGCAAACTTCTACAGGACAGTGCCTGGCTATGGCCACAGCGGCCCGTGATCGTGGGGCCCAGAGCGGGAGGCTCTGCTCCTCTCTGCTCTCCTCTCCTCCGACCTGACCCTAGCCAGTTAGATCAGGAGGGAAGGACGCACTGAGCCACTGGACTTCCTCTGTCTTGCAAAACCAACGCAACCAAAAATACTACAGACCACACTACGCAACTGTGCACTGCTCAGGGCGTCACTGGGGGGGGGGGGGTTGCGGCTGGCCCTAGAGTGAGCCCAGGCTCTGCTTCCTAGACAGCCTGCCCCTCAGAAGGACTTCCCTGGAGACAGCCGCCATCAGTCAAACATCTCATCACTGAACCTAGGGTACTGGGGCTCTGGGTTTGTCTGCTCAAAGAAGCAAGAGTCCTCTGCTGAAGATCACCACACACAGAAACAGCCCTGCTGGGGTGTCCATCTTCCCAAGCCCCCCCGGAAGGAAAAGAACCAAGGGCTTACCTGCTGGGTGACCTCAGCGGGGTTATTTCACCTCTCTGAGCCTCTGTTTCTTCATCTGAAAGACAGAAATGCTCAGACTGACCACCAGGAGAGGACATGCAGAGGGCCTGCCATGGGCTCAGCCCAGCCGTAAGTAAACACTAACTGCGAATGCTGAGTGACTGGCCCGTCAGCTGCCCGGCGTGAGAATGGAGCCGACCTGCGTGCGCAAACTTCCTGTCACAATCATGAAGAGAAAGCTGTGCACGCAGCACGCCTCAGACCACTTCCTGCGCCCAGAGACTGGCGTCCCAGAGAGCTGGAGAGCGCGCCGGGACGGGGAGGAAGCAGTCCACGCTGCAGGAGCTTGAGGAGGGCTGGCTGGCTGGCTGGCGGAAGCGGGCCAGGGTCTGTGTGCTGCGCGGGGCCAGGTAGGTCCCAAGTCCCACTGCCCCAGGAAGGGCAAGAAGGACAGAAAGGTCTGCGCAGAGCCCAGCTCACGGGCCCACGGCCGCCGCGGGGCCGGTGGCTGGTGGAGGTCACGCTGGAGCAGGGAAGGGCAGGGGCTTTGCTTCTAGAGCATTCTTCTAAGAGGCAGGACACAAACACGTTGTGGGTAAGAGAGGATGTGGATCTGGAAATTGGGTGAGGTTGGTTGCCGGGTCTCATCTGAGGTCCCATACGCAGTGAGAACCTGGGTGACGACTCCCCGTGTCCCTGCCAGTGACACCTCCCGTCATCACCATCATCACCCCCATCGCCTCCTCCCCCACACAGCCTCCCTCAGCCAGGCACAATGTGCAGAGCAGCTCTGGTCCCCAGCTGCAGTTAACCCAGCTGGCGCACTTGCGGAGGAACAAGATTGGCTGGTCACGACCGAGCTCTGGGGAGTGTTTGTTACGCAGCGAGGCTGGCAGACCAATGGGAGGAGCCTTTTCAAGCATCTGTTTCCTGCTAGCAGACATCTGGTGGGTAAGACCCGAGCTGGGGGCAGAAGGCCTGCCCCCGGCCTGGGCTCTGCCTTGACCTCTTCACTGCTCTGACCCCACCTCCCCCGCTTCTCCTCCCGCATGCTGGGGATGGGAAGTGGCCCATCGCACGCGGTCACGAGGCCGGAGAGACGTCAGCGTCCCCACCACAGCTCTGCTAACGGTTCTTCCTGACAGGGGACAGGCTCAGTTTGCTGTGTCAGCCTGGATTCCAAGCAGGTGCTGCCCGGCAGTCACTGCACCCTGACAGCAGGGGCCCTTGGTGCTGGGCCGGGGCTGGGGGCTCTCCTTGCTCAGGAAGGCAGCAGGAAGCGGGAAGCGGGAAGCAGGCTGGGAAGAGTCAAAGGGAGCACTGTGCTTGGGAGGGGAAAGCTACCCACCCACTGCCCACTGCAGGCACAGACACGCAGGCCAGAAGGGAAGAAGGGAAGGCTCATGGTCCTCTCCTTCCTCCACTTTCACTGCCTAGAGGAGGGGCTGAGGCTAGCCCAAACTCACGCACCGGGCTAGCCTTAGAGCCTGGGAGGAGAACCAGCTGGGGCCTCTTGTCCTTGCCTCCCACGAGCGAGCGCAGCGGGAAGGAGGCACACCCTCTGCGCCGCCTGGGAGGCCAGGGCCAGAGCCAGGCGGACTTTGCCAGAACCTTGTAAAATGTGTCGAGCTCTTCTTTGAGTCACTTGGAAACATCTGTGTTCCTTTTCTGGGAAAGTCTAGCTTTCGCTCACTAGAGGCCGGGGTCCGGTGTGGGGGGGCGACCTGGGAACTGGGAAGCCAAGGGGGGCACAGAATGGCGGGAAAGGGGCGGGGTGGACGGGCTCTGGTTTGGATCACGGCCTGGTCTGATGGTGAAGGTCACACGAAGGCCCAAGGTCAGCTCCCAGGGCCGAGCGAGGGCAAGGCCAGGGTGGCTAAGTGGAGGGGAGGTAGGGGGTGGCTGGCAGGGAAGGTGGGAAGATGGTGGAGACACGGGACGCCAGGGTGGACGGGCTCGGGGCCCACAGGCCGCTCGAGGAATGTATTCTCGTCTTGGAGAGAAGCAGGCAGCCATGAGTAGGAGAATCCAGGGACTGGGCGAGGCTCGGTTTCCCCATCTGACTGAACCCCAGACCCCCAGGGGAAGCGATGCGTGCACCGGGGCTGTGACTCCCTCCCATGTGTCTTCTGAGGCCTGTGGCCTGGCTGGCCTCTAGAGAGGTGAAGAGACAGGGCCTCTCCCACTGAGGGCCCAGGCTGGCTGGGGTCGGGTATAACGCCCCCCCCCCAGTCCCCTCCCCTCCCCATGGCCATCTATAAAACAATCCCACAGAACTCAGCTGCCTTGGGTAGCTTGACCCGGCCAAGGAAATGCAAACCTGACACCCACCTCTCCAGCCGGGCCTCTCTGGGGGTCACTGGAGTAATCTGCTACCCCAGGAAAGTCGGCCGAGGGCTCTTGATTACCAAGCCCTGTCCTCCAAGTTGCTCAGGTTCCCTGCCAAACAGGTCTGCTTCACCCGGAGACGTGACCCCCTGCCCTCCCACCCTGGATACCCCCTGGGGCAGAGGGGCACCGGCTGCAGGGTGACATGGGACTCGGGGCGGTCAACTCCAGAGGGGAGCAGGGTGTGTCCTGGCTCAGCAGCTCCTCTGCCCAGCCTCGCCCCCTTCCCCGCTTCCTGAAACACTCCTCAGTCATCCACTGGCCCCAGCCCTGCCTCTGCTCCCGCAGGGAGGAAAGGACACCTCCTTGAGCTGGGCTGAGCGCACCCATCAGGAAATAATGTCACAGAACCTTCCAGGCTGACTCAACTTTTTGTTGTACTTGGGGATTAGGTCTTGGCTTCACAGGAGAGACCAGAAGCCACAGCCCACTCTGCAAAGAACTACTGGGCCCCAAGCTAGAGAAAACAACAATAAACAAGAGGTGCCATCTTCGAGGGACACGGGCAGCTCAGGTGTCCTAGCTACTCAGGAAGCCTAGAGGATCGCAGTTCAAAGCCAGCCTACGCAGAAAAGTCAGTTATTATTATCTCTAATAAACTACTCTGAAAAAGCTGGAAGTGGAGCTGTGGCCCAAGTGGTAGAGCGCCAGCCTTGAGAAAATGAAGCTCAGGAACAGTGCCGAGGCCCAGAGTTCAGGCAAATAAACCAAGTCCCTTCTTAGCCCATCCCTTACGCCTGAACTGTGATCCTCCTATTTATGTTCTCTGTCTCGCTGTGCTGAGAGGCATTCCCATGCCCAGATTTTTCTGGTAAAGTGAGGTCTTTTGAATTTTTTTTGGCCTGGCCTTGAATCACAATCCTCCCCCTCTCGGCCTCCCAAGGAGCTGGAGTTACAGCCTTTCCACGGGTCTTCAGGCTGCCCGATGTGGTACGTGTAACGGCCTTTTGTCTCTGGTCCAGGGGACACGAAGTTCTGCAGCACTGGCCAGGACGTCCATCTCCTTTGCCGTTCTTTCAAGCTCATAAAGGGACTTGCCTCATGTAGCTGTTTCTAATTAAAATTCAACTTCTGGTTTAAACCACATTTCTTCAGCTGCACGAATCGATTAACCGATCAGGGCAACGAATTGAATGAACTAATTTAATGAAAACTACATGTAAAATTAAGGTCCTTCAGGTGCTAGCCAGCCTTGTGGTTAGCAGACATTGGTGAAGACGGGGCAGCTGCAGAATAGCCCTGTCCCCAAGAGTTGTATCGATCTGCCAGGGATTAATAGTGCAGAGCTCTGGCCTGACACTGGGGGCTGTGTGGCCTTTAGCAGGTGATGGACCCTCTCTGAGCTCTGCGTCCTTACCCATAAGATGAGAACACAGGGCCCAGCCCTGGAGGGAGAAGGGTCCAGCGAGGGTTGTCCGGCCGGGGCCTGTTGTGTGCTGTGTGGCCCCCAGGGAAGCGGGGCCTGACCTGGTCAGTGCCGAGTCCACAGTACACACAGCACAAGGAAGGCCTCCTCAAGTTTTGCAGGTCCAGCCCCTCCATCTGGTCTGAGTCTGTCCTCACCGAGTGCATGTGTGCCAGAAGTATGTGCACACACACGTGCACATACACATCCGAGAATACACTCTCACAATGTCCTTCAACTGCACTTAGAGCACCGAGCTGCAGGCTGCTGAAACACATCAGCCCGGCTCACACTCAGCACACCCTGAGCACACGCTCAGTCCATGCTCAGCACACCCACGCTCAGCCCACGCTCAGCACATGCTCAGCACACACTGAGCACACGCTCAGCCCACGCTCAGCTGACGCTCAGCACACCCACACTCAGCCCATGCTCAGCACAACTCAGTCCACGCTCAGCACACTCTCAGTCCCTACTCAGTACACTGAGTCCACACTCAGCCCACGCTCAGCACATGCTCAGCACACCAGCACACACTCAGCCCACGCTCAGCACACTCTCAGTCCCTACTCATTACACTGAGTCCACACTGAGCCCACGCTCAGCACACATTCAGTCCACACTCAGCACGCGCTCCGTCCGCACTCAGCCTACGCTCAGCACACACTCGGCACATGGCAGGCTTGCCACTCTGCCTGGGGAGAACTCGCTCCTGGGCGCTGCCCGCCCACGGCCGGACAGCCACTCCCTGCTGCTTGGCATCCAGTCAGCCTTGGCCTGTGCTTAGCTTCTGCTTCGCTTTTATCAAAACCATCCCAGGGTGGCGTTGAGCAACATGGGCCGGACAGTCCCTGGCTGAGGGCGGCAAGCCCAGGCCCCTGCCCCGCTCTGCCCAGAGAAGGCGGGGCGGCGTCTAGCATGGGACACAGGGGACTCCCAAGACTCCCTGAGACGTCAGGCAAGTCAGTGAATTCTGAGCCTCTGCTTCCCAGTCCGTCCACACTCGACTCGGTCTATGCCACGGAGACCGGCCTCGGGGTTAGGTTTGTCTGCGACACTGTAACTAAGTTTAAATTGCGTCTTCGAATGGCAGCTTTAAAATCTCGACATTTCCTGTAAAATCCCAGTGCCTGGCTCGCTTCCAAAACAAAAGGGCAGCAGGAGCAGCCGCAGGCAGGGCTCCTCGGGGTTCAGCGGCCGCCATCTCCTCCCAGGCCAAGTCAGGCCTCACAGTGCACCACAGGCCCTACTGCTACGTCTGCAGCCCTACTCACCCTCTACTTTGGACATGTGGCCCCTGTCATCATGTGAG